CTGGAGGAGAGTATGGCAACCCAATCCAGTGTTCTTGCCTGGAGAATCTCATGGACTGAGGAGCCTGGCGGGCTATAGTCCATAGAGTCACAAAGAGTCAGACATGACTGAAGTGACTGAGCAAAAATATATATATTTGACCACACCCTACAGCATATGGGATCTTCCACACCGGGACTTGAACCCATGCCCCCTGCAGTGGGAGCATTGATTCTTAACCACTGGACTACTGGGGAAGTTCCTGTCCTAATAGTAAATGAAGAAAAAAGAGATAACTACAGGTACATATTTAACATCTTTGGAAAGCAGAGTGTATACAACTTCAAAATAATCTTAATATAATTAAATGACCCTTATTTAATATGAGAATTTCAAAACACTTTTGACAGGGTTGGGGTTCAGCTACAGCCTTGCAATTTGGCTTTCTTTTTTCAGACATACAGTGAATATTAGATGCTTGTGTGCCTCTCTGTTTTATTTTGTTTTTAATTATAAGGAACATGGTGCTGGGACTAAGCCAAGGGTCAATAGGAGTGTATGGGGGAACAGTGAATATAAATCTAACCCTTCTGCAAACAGATTAAATATATGAATTGCAGCTGTTGTGGGACTGTGTCTCATGACATTCCTGGTGTCCTGCTCCGGATGTGTTTTTAGGGAGACAAGGCAGGACAATTTGTTAGGACTCAGATGGAACAGATGGATCAGCTCAACCTTCTGGCAGTTGCTCTGCTGCTCCAGGTCCAAGGTAGCAGTTGTGAAACTGCCCTGAAGGAGATGGATGTAAGTCCCTCTGTCTGTATTTTAGATTAAGATTTTTCTTGCTCAAAGCCAAAGAGAAAGGGGAAAGGGTGAAAGAGTGGCCAAGATGGTTGGTATGGGAAATTGAGCATCTCTGTCCTAATTTTTCCATCGAAAAAATACAGGGGAAAAGTGTGTGTTGTGAGTTTCTGACTCTTCTGAGCACTCTTACTTTGGAAATTCAACCAAGTTTCCATCCTAGAACCAGGAGGAATGCTCCAGGATCCTAGTGACCCTATTGTCTAGGCTGAAATTCAAATATTCCTGAGGCTGCCTACCCACCCCTAAATGTTTCCTGCATATCTGAGAGTCCTAGACAAGAGGGATGCAACGTTTCTGCTCAGATGAAAATGCAAAACTGACCTTGGGATCGAGGTCATTGGCTAGCCTATTTTTAAGCACCTCATCCAGGTCTTCCCTGGCAGTTCAGTGGTTAGGACTTTGAGCTTCCACTGCAGAGGGTACGGGTTTGATCCCTCACTGGGGAACTAAGATCCCATAAGCTGAGAGGCATGATGGGAAGAAAAGAAAAACAAGCAACACATCTGTTCCAACCCTTCCTGTATTTTCTTTCTCAGTTCCCCTCACTCTCATTCCCAATACCCTGGTAAATAACCAGCTCAGGAAGCTTCACCCATTGCTTGGCATCCCAGCCACCCACGACTGTACTTTAAGACCTTATTGTGTAGCTGGAAACTATTCAACTAATCTTGATACTTCTACTTGAGTGTGCCTCACAGAGTGCCAGAGTGCTTGCTCTAAGATGCAAAGATGCCCTTTTCACTCTGAAAATCCTTCAAGAACACCATGACATTATAGGAAAAATTCTCAGCTCCCTGGTATGGTAGACAAGACCTTTCAGTTTCTGGTCCTGCAACCCCACAAGCTGAAACTTGCACTCTAACTGCATCAGCCGCTTAGAAGTTCCCAGAATGGGCCCGCCTGTGTCTTTGCTCTCGAGATTTCCTGAGGGCAGTGCCTTCTATAAACATGCAAATCAACTGTGCCTTCTTACGAGAAGCGCACCTCGACCTTTCCCCAAGGACGACCTCTCCCCAGGGACGCTCAGCCAGTGGCTCCTCCTCTGCTTCATCTAGAACATTCTGCGTATCTCAGTCTTGATACGTATCTCTTCAAGTAGCTCCTTCATGAGAGAGTGTGTGTGTATATTGGAAATCCATTATTTATTAAATGTAACTAAGTCGATTTTATAAAATACTGATTTATTTGCTTGGCTGCTTCAGGTTCTTAGTTTCAGCATGCAGCATTTCTTCAGTTGTGGCACTGGGGATCTTTAGTTGCAGCAAGTGGGATCTAGTTCCCTGACCAGGAATGGAACCCAGGACCCCTGCCTTGGGAGGGCAGAGTCTTAGCCACTGGACCAACAGGGAAGTCCCAACTAAATTGATTTTTAATCTTTCAGAACTGGCAATATCGCCAAGCTTTTTCCAGCATCAGGGTCTTTGCATAATTAATCTGCTGGAATAATTTTTCTCCCCATATTTTCTGTATTTCCTATATAGCAGCACTAACTTTCTAATTTCTAATTATTTATGAAGATAACACAGCTAGTGGTTAATAGTCTAGGTACCAATATCAGAGTGTCCAATTTCAAAAATGGGTGATTTTAAGCAATTTTCTCACTTTGTGTGTGTACATGCCTGAGTTCCTTATCTGTAAAATGGTACCAATAATCCCGGTTATGAGCAGTAAGTGAAATGAGACAATATGTGCTAAACAGATTTGTGCCTGGCCTGCAGCTGGTATTTACTGTCCTGTACTTAAATTTTTTTTTTTAATTATTAAATGTCATTTTACTCTGAGCTCCTAGAAGGCCGAAATTCTGATTTTTTCTTCACTGCTATACCCCAGTGCCTACCATGGCATACAGTAAGTTCAAAATAAATTCATGCCACCTGGACTTCGGTGGTGGTTCAGTGGTTAAGATTTCAGGCTCCCAGTGCAGGAAGCATGGGTTCAACCCTTGACTGAGGAACTAAAATCCCTCATGCCACATGGTTTGGAAAAAAAAAAATATCATGCCATCTGAATGGGTGAATAAATGGCAATTCTTTCTTTAGAGCATTCGCTGAAGATAAGTAGGGAACGGTGCCTGCTTATTAGGGTGAGGACAGAAGCTGTATCAGTGACCTTCTTTATTTTACTTAGTTTTTGGCTGTACCCCATGGCATCTTAGTTCCTGGACCAGGGATTGAACCTGGAGCCCCTGCATTGGAAGGGGGAGTCTTAACCATTGGACCACCAGGCAAGTCCCTCAGTGGCCTTTTTAAATCAATCCTTATATTCACCTGGCTATAAAACCAAGTAACTTTTTTTTTTCTTTAGTTTAAATGAAACCACTTGGGTGAAAGTTAGACAATAATGTCATTCTTGGATTTTTATTAGAGGAACATGGGCACTTATTTACTTCGTTCAGAACTGAGAGTATCAGGTCTAGGATTGATTATGAAACTCTTGGAATAAACACGCTCAGGTTAAGGTGACCTTGCTCGGGAGAGAACAGACTGAGTCTTGGGATGGTGCGCTAGGAGAAGAGAATGACAAGCAATATCAAAATAACAAGGTGATGTAGGCAGCTCTGTAAGCAAGTTCAATTTCAACTGTGATCTTGAATTTTATTTTCAGCGAAAACCTTAGCTTCCCTCTGCATAAACCACCTTATGAAATTAGTAGCATAGACATCAGAGAGGAAAGGACAACTTTATCCTTTTTAGTAGGGAAAGAAGTGAAGTTCTGAAAAAGAAGGAAAGTCTAAAATCAGCTTCTGTAGGATGTAGTTTGTTTTTTTAACCACAAAACTTTCAACAAAGAGTTTTAAAAATAAGTCAATAGGAGGGAAGGGTGGAGAGAGGAATAGTTAGGGGGTTTGGGATGGGCATGTACACCCTGTTATGTTTAAAATAGTTAACCAACAAGGACCTACTGTATAGCACAGGGAACTCTGCTCGATAGTCTCAAACAGCCTAACTGGGAAAAGAATTTGAAAAAGAATAGATACATGTGTATGGATAACTGAATCACTTCATTGTACACCTGAATCTAACACATTATTGTTAATCAACTGTACTCCAATATAATATAAAAGTTTATATAATATAAAAGTTTATATTTATATAATATAAATAAATAAAACACTTGTGTAAAAAAGATACAACAAAATAAAAGCCAGCCTATGATGTTGGGGGAAAAAAAAAGTCAATGGGTAAAGGCTGTTAATTCAATCTCTGGATTGGGAAGATCCGCTGGAGTAGGAAATGGCAACCCACTTCATGGACAGAGGATTCTGGTGGGCTTCAGTCCAATGAGGTCACAAAGAGTTAGGTACAACTGAGCACGCACAAACACGCACAAAGGCTACTGAAGACTATTTACGCCAGAAAACCTAGGTTGAGCCAAGGTACAGTGGCTGAGTGCAGCCAAGGCAGAAAGGTTGGTAACAGTAGGTTACCTAGTTCTCATTCTCTAATGAATGTCATGCCAGGAGGTCATCAGGAGCAGAGTGTGACAAATCTGTTTATACCGCCAGTTCTGTTCAGTCGCTCAGTCGTGTCCGACTCTTTGCAGCCGAATGGACTGCAGCACGCCAGGCCTCCCTGTCCATCACCAGCTCCCAGAGCTTATTCAAACTCATGTCCATTGAGTCAGTGATGCCATCCAACCATCTTATCCTCTGTCGTCCCCTTCTCCTGCTTTCACTCTTTCCCAGCATCAGGGTCTTTTCAAATGAGTCAGTTCTTCGCATCAGGTGGCCAAAGTATTGGAGTTTCAGCTTCGGCATCAGTCCTTCCAATGAATATTTAGGACTGATTTCCTTTAGGATGGACTGGTTGGATCTCCTTGCTGTCCAACAGACTCTGAAGAGTCTTCCAGGTGTGATTCTGGCCCACTAGACTAGGCGATCAAGCTATTGCATCCTCGTTCCTCTCATAGGAAAGATGCCACTAGTGTAGGTTCCCTCCTTGGTAAAATAATAGATGCTTTCCCCCAAACAGAATCTCTTATCCTCACAACCCAGTACCCTTTCTTGTTGTAGTATTGTATCTAGAGTCTTCCAACTCTAAATCAGATGAAAAAGCAATTCTAGAAGTTTCTTACCCAGTGAGAAAGATGCAGGAATAAGGCAAGGCGTGGGAGGACAAGGGAAAACGAGGCGAGACTCCAGTCAGACACACACTCACCACTTTCTGGTTCCCTTCGTGATCTGTGAGCAGCCATTCGATATCCAGGGTGTCTTTTTCTGGGAGCCCCAGTTGATGGTGACAGGGCAGAGTGACCTTCTCCTCTGCCACTTTCTTGATCTCAGTGTGGGTCCCCAAGGTTCCAACGTAGTAGGAAACTGGAAGAGGGAAACCTCCAATGAGTTGTGCAGAAACGGGATGACAGTGTGCAGGAAACAAATACTACAACAAATACTGGATGTTTCTGTGGGCAAGAGGCATGTCAAGGTGTTGGAAGAACCCTGGTCCAGAAGTTACTGGTAGTCCCTGGTCTCACACTGGCTCCTCCATTAACTGAATTCATCATATCTTCCATACCTCCCCCCCAAATTACATTCCTGCTAATGACCACCTTTCTTACCCTCCAGGGTTTTTAGAATGAAATCACTCAGGTCAAAAACAACTTTGTTTTTTGACCTTTCTCTCTCCTACTAGCAAAGGCTTCTGAAAGGACGGAAACTAACAAGGAGGACAGGGTTAGCCTCCTCCCAGCACAGGCTCCGGATACGGTTCACTCCTCAGAGCCATCCTGAAGTCTGGCCGCCCTCACAGAACTCTCAGTAAGTGCAGCCGTGCCTCCAGGAACAAGTGGGCTCTTGTGGCAGCCCCTGCTCCCTTAAGGGACACACAGTCTCCTACTCCCCCAGCTTCCATCTTCATTCTCCATAGTTTCATATCACACGGCTGCAAAACAGGAAGCAGCACTTTCTACTCAAAGCAAAATTCCAAGTTACCACATTTGGATCCTGTCCCTTCATCTGTCCAATATTCCTTTGGCCAATAGGAATTCAGTTCTACTTTCTTTAACTTTCATCTTTTTCCAGAAATGATATCGTGTCAGCAATTTAATTTTGTAATGTTTTTTGGCTATATAGCTTGTGAGATCTCAGTTCCCTGACCAGGAATGGAACCAAGGCCCCCAGCAGTGCAAGTGTGGAGTCCAAACCACTAGATCACCAGGAATCCCATCAAATCGCCCACTATCACACAGCTAGGAAGTGTCAGCGCAGGGCTCCACCCAGATCTGTCTCCCTGCAAAGCGCACCCTGACAGCCATGCTAAACTACTCATACCCTTGATTTTATGTGACTTCCTGAGGGTCTGGTTCTCCCATTTGCCTCTTAAGCACCTTGAGATTAAGTTCCATTACCACTGCATGCCTAGAGCACTTAGGGTCTCACATACTGCAGGTGCTCAATAAATACGTATTGGATGGATTTGAATCTAACCCATGCACTGATTTAACCAATGATCAAACTGAGGTCTGGGGATAAAGGAGTTGGCCCAAGGTCCTACAACTCATTTAGTGGCAGAACTAACCCATATAAAACCCATCCTCTTTCAGTTCCCATAAAGCAGAGCCGGTTTGCCCTGTACTATAAGCTAAGCTTCCATGGAGGAGCTCTGGTTTACATCTCTGATCACTTTCCACTGGACAGGACAGTGTTCAGATGAAGCACCCCTGGCAAAGCTAGAGAACCCAGCACCAATTCAGTGCATACAGTAGGCACTCACTATATATTGAATAAATAAATGCAAAGAATCAGCTAGGAAAGTTGCCAATTTGAGCCACTAGAGGGAATCAGAGGCTCAGATTTGGTTGATGTCCTCAAAGGAAAGGAACACAGTGGTGGGTGGCGTGCTTTGCCAGATCACCAAGTTCTATTTATGCCACACCCAGAATTAACACAGCAGTGCAGGGCCAGGCCACTCCGTGAATCACAAATGGCTTTACCAAGGCATGGAGCCTCAGGATCAGGGTGCATGCACCTTTAGTCTTCTCCGAACCTCAGGTCCCTGGAATCCCTGCAGAGTTCTCAGGTACTTCTGTGCTTTTTAGCTCAAACTCCTGAAGTCTATGTGCAAAGTGCCTGGGCTCTCCTTACAACCTCCAGGCTTGGCAGTGCTCATGGGGGCTGCTGAATATGTGTCTGCTGCCTGGCAGGTGAGCAAGAAGGGGCAATTTAACCTCCAGGGGCCAGCCTTGGGTTCCCTGGGCACTGAAGGGTTCACTTTCATTGAGAAAGACCTTGCTGCTGCTGCTTAGTCGTTCAGTCATGTCCAACTCTTTGCAACTCATGGACGATAGCCCGCCAGGCTCCTCTGTCCATGGGATTTCCCAGCCAAGAATACTGGAGTGGGTTGCCATTTCCTTCTCCAGGGGATCTTCCTAACCCAGGGATCAAGCTTGAGTCTCCTGCTTGGCAGGCAAATTCTTTACCACTGAGTCGCCTGGGAAGCCAGAGAAAGACTTGTTGTTCAGTCACTAAGTTGTGTCTGACTCTCTGTGACCCCATGTACTGCAGCCCGCCAGGCTTCTCTGTTCTTCCCCATCGCCCAAACTCATGTCCATTGAGTCAGTGATGCCAAGCAACCATCTCATCCGCTGTTGTCCCCGTCTCCTCCTGTCCTCATCCTTTCCCAGCATCAGGGTCTTTTCCAAATGAGTTGGCTCTTCGCATCAAGTGGCCAAAGTATTGGAGCTTCAGTTTCAGCATCAGTCTTTCCAATGAGTATTCAGGGTTGATTTCTTTTAGGATTGACTAGTTTGATCTCCTTGCAGCTGAAGGGACTCTCAAGAGTCTTCTCCAGCACCCACAATTCGAAAACATCAATTCTTTGGGGGCTCAGTCTTCTTTATGGTCCAACTCTCACATCTGTACATGACTACTGGAAAAACCATAGCTTTGACTGTACAGACTTTTGTCAGTAAAGCGATGTCTCTGCTTTTTAATATTCTGTCTACGTTTGTCATAAAACATGCATAGTTGAAGTCTTTCTAAAAATATTATGTCCAAAGAACTGGCATTGTTTTGGTGGTCAAATAGATGCCTTTGATGTCCCTTTCATGGAGGCTTACTTAGTTCAAATAAGTGAGACCTATAGTTTTCTTGCACTGACTTTCCCTCACATATTGAGGCCCAGTTTCTTGATCAGACTGTCAGTTCAAGCAGATGTGGCAGGATTAAGAACCCTGGCTGAGTTTTTTAAGATGGCTCCCTCCCCTAAGGCCACTGGTAAGCTATCGTGCTTTTATGGATGCAAAAAGACAAATGGCCCCGGGTAACTTTTTCAAAAAATATATTTATTTCTATTTATTTATTTATTTTAATTGGCTTCCCAGGTGGTGCAGTGGTAAATAATCCACCTGCCAATGCAAGAGATGCAAGAGACATGGGTTAAGAACCCTGCCATTTTCCTGGTTTTCCTGTTGGGAAAATCCCTTGGAGTAGGAAATGGCAACTCACTCCAGTATTGTTGCCTGGAGAATCCCGTGGACAGAGGAGTCTGGTGGGCTACAGTAAAGCAGTCACAAGGAGCTGGACACGACTGAGCACAGCACACAATTTATTTAGCTGTGCTGAGTCTTAGTTGTGGCCTTTGAACACTTAGTTGTGGCATGTGGGATCTGGTTTCCTGACCAGGGATCAAACCAAGGCCCCCTGCATTGGGAGGGCAGAGTCTTAGCCACATTTCACCAAAGAAGTCCGCCCAGGGTAACTTTTAATAGAAACTAGGATCTGCATATAAAATATCTTATTTCTCTCTTATTTCCCTAGCAGAGAATTTCTACTTCTCAAATATTTACTGAATGCCTATGAGGCACAAGTTGCCCAGGGCCTGCATGCTATTCCCTCCAAAGAATGGATCCTCTAGTGTTGCCATCATTAACTCTGACACCCCACGTTCCCCTAGGCCCTCTAGGAGAGGCCATAGTGCTTTCTGGGTCCTGTTTTAGAACTGAGTTGTTGATTATCAGGCTGTGCAGACAAACTGTTTACAAGTAACATAGACAGCCATAGCAGTTACTGTCTAAAGTCAAGTGCAGGAGCTGCATCATTGCCACTATTTAATGTACAGTGGGGCACCCGTGAAGGGCGATGGAGGGGTGCAAGCACCCGCCTTCCACTCAGTGGTTACACTCTTTTCAATGGACCTGTTCAATTTCCTAAGTGGGAGGAAAGTTTCCTTGTGTTTTGCTTTACAGGGAATATTTAAGAAGGCCTCAGGAAAACCAAAATCATCAAATGTCATTCAGAAAGATAAAAAGGATTTTGGAAATTTTATTTTTTAAAATAATTTATTTTTGGCTGTGCTGAGTTTTCACTGCTTCGCTCAGGCTTTCTCTAGTTGTGAAGAGAAATGGGGGCTACTCTAGTTGTGGTAGGTGGGCTTCTCATTGCTGTAGCTTCTCTTGTTTCAGAGCACGGACTCAGTCCCTGTGTGGACTTCAGTAGTTGTGGCTCATGGGCTTAGCTCGTCCTTGATATCTGGAATCTTCCCTTCATTGGCAGGCAGATTCTTATCCACTGTGCCACCAGGGAAGTCCGGATTTTGGAAATTTTAAACTTCTCTTATAGATCAAGAAATCAAGGCTTGGAGAAAAGTGATTCACCCAAAGGCCTTCCAATTTCTAGACTAATATATATGTAAAATTCTGTAGGTGCAGGGGTGTGCGTGTGCGCGCGCGCAGAAATGTACCTTCCAGACTGTTTCTGGAACACTGTATGCAGTTCAAGATATAATAGAAGAACCATGAGTTTGGAGTCAGATAGATGTGGTGTGGATGAAATTTGCTCTAAGACAAATTAATTCCCTGACTGCTCTGAGTCTTTTCTCTGTGAGGTGAGTATAAAAACATCAATCATGAGAGACGATTGTAAGGATTATTAAGATGTATACAAAGTGTCTGACACTGGCACAGGATATACAGTACATACTCAACAAATGCTCATTATTAGTAGTTGTACACACCATACGAAAGACAAGAAAAATGAGAAAAACATGCTAAGGAGGTAAAGCAGAACTGTGAGGAGTTTGAAAGTCATTTTGCTAGACAACTTAATGTTTGGCCATGTTTGTTCAATCTCTCTCCATACATTTGTATGTATATATACAGATGGGCTTCCCAGGTGGCGCTAGTGGTAAAGAACCCAGCTGCCAATGCAGGGGATGCTGGAGACAAGGGTTTGATCCCTGGCTTGGGAATATCCCCTGGAGAAGGAAATGGCAACCCACTCCAGTATTCTTGCCTGGAGAATCCCATGAACAGAGGAGCCTGGTGGGTTACAGGCCATAGCATCTCAAAGAGTAGGACACGACTGAAGTGACTTAGCAC